TACATCGTAGGGTGTAGTATCTTTGGTTATAGTAGCTTACATAAATTCTTAGAATGACTTTCTCGTTAGCAAGGAACAAAATATAGGTTAAATCTAAAGAATTGGTGACTGAGGGGTCTTTTTTATGTATGATTACTAGTATTTTCTACAAATTTTGTACCGGTACGGAGATGGGTAGACTTCTGAAAGAAAAAGCGTTGTGGACACCGAGCTGGAGCCACAACCACGTTCTGGGGGGGGGGGGGGGGGGCGCATCTGGTGTATTTCAAATGCTAAGGAGGTTCAAGCAAAATTTGAAAAATTCAAATGAACCCAACATGGTCAGTACACTTTCTCTTGTCTTCTGTTCCATTTCAGATGTTTGTTTGCTTTCATTCACTCTGTTTTTGGTGCCTGTACACAGAGCACACCTGGTGTGTTATGTTATACAATTATACACAAAAATATTGCAAGAAAAGTTAATGGGTATCCCATTTTAGTAACATACCCAGGGTACCTTTTCAACATTTTCGCTCACAGTGATAAAATTAAAAGAGCCTTTCATTTTTTAAAAATAACAAGAGATTTGGAATCTGCAGGAAAAAATACAAAAGATAGCCAAGTTTCGTAGATATATATAAAAAAAAAAAGAAAGTTGCAGGAGTTTGAATGTTGGCCGCAAGTCCTTGGCCTAAAATTTCTATGAATTTTTTGACACATTTCCCCTGATATTTTAAAAACTACTGCAGATATATCAAATGTCTTTATAGATATAGGTTCTGCAGGAAAAACTACAATAGGCTGCCAAGTTTCATTCATGTATTCTGTTTATTACGGAATTTATGATAAAAAATGCCTTAAAACACCCAAAAATGTGGACCGTGTTTTGTGATTTTTTCGTAATATGAGTCACCCCCCAAAAAATTCATTTAAAAAATCATAACTTTTTTATTTATGAACGAATTGTCAAAATTCAAAAACTGTGTTACTCAGCAGAGATAAGGCTATCATATGCACATTGTTTTGTTGACTTTAGAGCAAAAAAAAAAAATTTCATGGTTCTTGCTATTTTGTGCTGTAACGTAATTTTTTCTCGGCTTTTGTCAATTTGATCGTCCACAGCAAGACAGATTCCAAAATGAGGAAAAACAAGTCTTGTTTCACACCGGGTGAGAACAGCCTACGCTGGCAAGTCTCACCCCGGGGTGAGAGGTAGATCGTATTTTTATTCTCACCCCGGGTGAGACTTGCCACCGTAGGCTATTCTCACCCGGTGTGAAACAAACCTGTTTTTCCTAATTTCGGAATACTTTCTATCGATGTGGATGATCAAATGGATAAAGGCAAAGAAAAGATTACAAATTAACACACACAAAAAAGAACCGAAGAGGTTGGGGGAGGGGGGAGCACTTTATTTTATCAACCCTCTGTCAAATTTACCTGCCTCATGCGGCCAGGCGTGGTCTCGCATTCCCCGATGCTTTGTCATAAATTATGAATCGGCCCCTCACGCTATGGACGAGCCGTCATAATTCATTCACCTGTCATAATTGTCAGTCCCTCCAATGACCAATGGGTAGGCCTAATGCGGGTATTCCACGTACAGTTAGTCCAGACAGGATTTTCAGTGCAGCCTCGCTGCAGTTATATTATAACGTGATAAGAAAAACATCATCAGTCTTGCGTCAGCCATCCGATCCAACTGCATAGCAATGCCCACGGAGCGCATTTTGTTCTGCCGATTTTTTACCCCCGCCGTGGGGGTGTTTTGTGAGACTAACTAACGCAATGGTTGTTGTCTTCAACTCGCTCTCACGTCGCTTCTCGTAAATGGATATGAATGAAACTTGGCTGCCTATCAGAAAAGAGGTCAATCTCGTAGTATGCAGACTGACAAGTTTGTACCCATCCAAGAATCAGTCGAAAACGTTTGCGAAAGTGGTTGATGTGGTGCGCTTTTAAGATTTTTCGGAGCTATGATTTGTCAAACTGACTGATAAGTTGTACACCATTTTTCTTTATTCACTTAAAATTTAATGCTTCTGTGTTTAGCGGTTTGTGCTTAATCTTTAAAAATGTGGGAGTAACTAAGGGAAAAGCGGCATTGCCATTTGCGCATGCTGGGTGAATGACCGGTGGCTGGGAAATTTCCACTGAGTGACATCATCAGCCATCGGTCGCCTCGGGCGCTACAAAAGAGGCCCTGCTTATGTGAACCGGAAAGGAGGGGAAGGATACTTGAAAACTAAATGGGGGCCTTGATAACTTGCATTTGTGTTGCATTTTAGTCACAATACAATAGATGTAGTCATTTTTATTTGCTTAATTGCATGAGAGAAGAATAGAAACGGAAAAGCAAACATCTTGAGAAGTAGTATGGCATTGTGTTTGCGCTATAAAAGCCTATTCCCCCTCTTGGGAAAGCACACGCTTGGACTCGTCATGTTTGCTCTGTTTGGAAAAGTGAAGCATTAAGGTTGTTATTAAAGAGTATGATACTTATTTAGTCCAGTCTGGGAAGATAGTCCCGTTTGTACATTGTTATCGTTCACGTGCGCGTGTGTGAGTGCGCACTCGTGCGTGTGTGTGTGTGAGAGAGAGAGGGGGGGGGGTCTAAATATCTGTTATGTTTATAGTATGAGTAGTAGCCTACATATGTGGAATATTCCCATGACTTGTAAACTATATATTATCAAAACGCATCTTAATCTACTTTACAATAGGACACTGTCCCCCAATGGATAAATACAAAGACGATCTTATTTTCTACTACAAAGTGTGCATGCTTTTACCAGTAGAGAACTGGATTTATTAGACTAATAAATGTAAATGTCTTTACAACTCAAAAAGTATGATAGGTATTAAAAGATCTGACAGCATGACTAGATTCTGCATTAAAAACTACTAGACTGCCAAGCAAGAAATAGGCGAGCTATGACAAATATTGTCTCAAAGGGCTCCGAAAACCGCCACATTTTTACCTATAAAAGTCTTCATAACTCAAAAAGTAGGATAGCTTTGAAAAATCTAAAAGCAGGACTAGATTCTGCACTAGAAAATGAACTGGGTTGCCAAGTTTCGTTTACATACTCCGAGAAATAGAGTTATGACGAATATTGTCTCAAAACTCACCAAAGAGCGTCCCATATTTTGGGTTTTTTTCATGATATAAAAGTGTACCAAAAATTAATTGATTAAAAAATTTGTAACTTTTTTGTTCATTGATGGATTCAAATCTGTGAAGATATAGATCTAGCTACAAAATGCACATGTTTGCAAACACTTTCTGACAAAAAAAGATTTTTTGTGGTCATTGCTAAACTGCCTGCAGACCGCAATATTTGGCGAGCTAAATATTTTCATCGTATGTCAACGAAGGAGCGGCTGTGTCGAGGCACGCTGCCGCTCGCCTTTGGTGCTTCTTCAGGCAACGGCCCCACACTCGCTAACGAAATTTTGCACCACTGAGTTTCAAGAGAGTCTCACGTTTTGGCAATGGCTCATTTTGAACCTACGCTGTCATTGTTATGTAACATGCTCTGGGAAATGGATGTGCCGCCCCCCGCCCCTGGAAAATTGGGAGGCTCGATTAGCAGTCAATTTGTGTGAAAACTACTACAAAATGTATATTCATTTGAAGACATTTTGACTTTTTATCATTTCTTCTTCTTCTGTCATCCTAATGAGACTTGCGTGATGTGGTTTTGGGCTAGCCCAACTATTGGCACCTTTCAGTCCCCCTCTCCATTTTTTATCATTGATAGATGGGCTTTTGGGGGATCATTCTTGACGCGCAGCGGCCTAATTTTTTCCATGAATTGGGGGCTTGAAAAAAATTTCAGGGATTTGGTGGGCACCCTGAAGTTGGTAGCTCTAGGTGTTCGTCCCATGAAATTAGAACAAATTGTCCCACATAGGCATGGGGAGCTCGAAAGGATAGTCATGAAGCAAGATTTCCATTTTTTAAAATACAAAATCTTTCAAATGAGCTTGATTTTTTTATATGAAATGATGTTACCTGAAAAAAAAAAGCTTATTTTAAAGTTTTGAGTACCATTGTGCAGGTACATAGAACAATTTGAGTGCAAAACATTCGGAAATTTACCTATATTATCCCCTTTTGAACAAGAGTATCTATAAAGAGTATTTGAATGGATGTAACTTCTCGTAATTCCTTATCAGCCTATGAGAAGGGGTTATTCTTGTGTTTGTAACACTTTATAAAATTGAAAATAATGCATAATCTGGCTTGTGTCTGATACAACATAATATTGCAGGGAGTTACCGTGCATTCAAAACGTAGTGTTTATACATAAGATACAGAGAGGCAAGTACAGATACTTAATCTCATATCTCCACACATTATGACATTTTTTTTCAGCAAATACTTAAATTAGTGCAGTTCATCAGATAAACAAATTATAATATGTTTTTTTAAAAGAAAATACCGTAAGTGAAAAGAAAAATGGGGAGATTAGAGACTGACAGGAAGGAAGGACGGTTGACGTGTTGTTACTGTATCTAATGTATTGTAACATCCTCTTCACTCAGGCTATGTGTTATGTGTGTGGATTTTGTGTTTTTTTGTGTGTCGGGGGGGGGGGGTCGATAAGATTTTTAATGGCTATGGAAAATATTTTTGGCATGTGTGTTTGAAGCAGTTCAAACTCTTGTGTGTGATTTTTCTCAAGTAGACTTAGCTCTACTGAGCTGATACTCTGAGTTCTCTGTCCATCCTGCCTTAGATGTCAGTTAGTGAAATGAAATGAAGGGGGCATAATTGAAAAGAAATGAGCACATGTATAAAACAGCAAAAAGGGTACATTGAACAGAGCATGTGTTTAGGCAGCTACACAGGTTCTTTTGAATTGTTTGTTACCTTCGTGTCAAAATTCTTTATCCATGTCTGAAATATGTGTATGGATTTTTTGACGAATTTTGATAAGGCTTTTTTTTTCAGAAATTAAGAATAATGGGTTGCTCTGACCATTGGTTTTGAAAGTTTCATTTTTGTCTCCCAGGAACAAAATGTCGGAGGAAGTTGGAAAGAAACGTCCCCTTGAAACTGAGGATGCAGTTTCTGAAGAAGCAGACGATGCTAAAAGGTTAGTGTTTTTGTCCACATGCTAATCTAAAGGTTATCTATACAAAGGGTAGCCTATTGATTTCATTTCTTTAATAGGAAACACCTTCACCTTCTCCACTCGTCTTCCTTTCATCATCATGTCTTTAAAAACTGCTCTTTTTTATTTTAAAAAACACTACCCTGCCATCCTGTCCCCAATTATTGTCTGAAACAGGTTCATGGTTCATGCTTTGCAGTCTGACAATGCTGTGAAAGGATGCCTGTGTCTGCTTTTTACTCTTTTTTCTTCTTTTTCAGTTGATCATGCCTTTGCTCGTGGGTGGTTGGCGGGTGCTCTGGTGTGGTTCGCTCCTTCTTTCCTATTAAACATCTATCGTCCTTATCTCCCCTTCTTCTTTTTTATGTTTGTTACTCTCTTGTAACTCCTCTAATCTTCTGGCGCTCATATGACCTTATGCTGTTGCGAGCGCCGTAAAACCTCAAGAGAAAAGAAAATACATGCCTTTGCTCTCTTTGCCTTCCTTTCTCTCCCCCCCCCCCCCCCCCCCCCCAGGCTTGTGGTTGTTTTAGCCTGGGAGTAAGTAAGTGCATCATTGATGAAAGCTTTGCTTTATCTTTGGCAAGCAGCTCGCATTCGGAACCGCTGTGCTGGCAGCGGCTCGCGTGCATTCATTTAAGACGACTTCTACATCAAATTACTTTTCGGCAATTGCCGACAACAGGTCTCTTTTTTCGGGAGTTCATTCATCAGATGAAGAGCTACCAAAATAGGTTGGCTTGTTTTCAATTATTGGCCCATTTAGTGACGCTTTTGTCATTTTTAGATATATAGTACCAAAAAAGGGCCCGACATAGTGGGTTTACCCCCCCCCCCCCCCCCACGAAGATAAAGAAATAAGATGATAATTTCTTGTCCCATTAATGATAATAATAATAAATGAATTTATAACGCGCCAGAATCCACAAAAAGTGCTCTGTGGCGCTTACAAAACAAACACGCACACACACACACACACACACTCTAAAGCTCAGTACCACTACAACATGCGTTTTTTTTAAATATATTAAAAACGGACATATTTCAGATATATAGAGTTCCAGCATTATAAATTTACTCTCCTGAAAAATATTGTCATTAACTTTGATTTAAATTGATGATTGGAAGAGACATTTTAACATCTAAATCCAAATTGTTCCAAAGTTTTGGGGCACAGGTGGAAAAGGCCCTTTCACCCATTAAATGTCGTATCTAGGTACTGATTTCTTAAAAAGAGATAAGATAATTAATTGTGTACGGTATGATTCAAAAGCAAGAGCTCTTTTTCCTTTTTACAGATCACAAATAAAATAATGTAACATGTCAATTCTTGTGTGTGCTTTTTCTCCCACTGCCTCCTTCCCTGATGATCCAATGTCACAAATTTTCCTCACTTCACACAAGTGGAATATGAACCCTCTTTGTAGACAGTGAACGATCTTGATCTTGTCTGTTCGTGTTTGAGTGCCTAATTGACTGTATGCTGCAGCTACTTAGAAAGCTGAGAATGTTTTTGAGTGTTCTTGGGTCTGCTGGGGTAATGATAGATTGTAAAGCACACAGAGCTTGCTGTTGAGCACGCATTTATGCATTTACAAGTGCAATTCATTATTATTTTATTCTACTAACGATATAGTGTGTTCATTCTACTAACGATATAGTGTGTTCATTCTACTAACGATATAGTGTGTTCATTCTACTAACGATATAGTGTGTTCATTCTACTGACGATATAGTGTGTTCATTCTACTGACGATATAGTGTGTTCATTCTACTGACGATATAGTGTGTTCATTCTACTGACGATATAGTGTGTTCATTCTACTGACGATATAGTGTGTTCATTCTACTGACGATATAGTGTGTTCATTCTACTAACGATATAGTGTGTTCATTCTACTAACGATATAGTGTGTTCATTCTACTAACGATATAGTGTGTTCATGGTTAAGCTTGTTTGCTGGTAGTAGCACAAGGAGCTGAAGAAGGGAGGCTTAAAATTTCATAATATAATTATAAAGTCCAGCACTGGGCAAACTGATGTCAAAGTGTAAAAGAGATTTTCCACAAAAATGACTCTTTTCTGTCCATTATCTTGAATTCCTTACTTAATATCAAATATCGACCCTTGTGCTCAATATTCCTAAAAGTTTATTGACAATACAAGCTCTGAATTATGGACATACAAAAGGAGTACATTCGCAGTTCTCAACTAGTGATGTCAGAGTATTCAGAGGGTAGAGGAACGGAAAGGAGATTCCTCTTGTAATGATGACCCTTTTTTTTCATAATTCGTAGGCACTGAAGTTTTATTATTTCTGATTTTAAAATCTGTGGGTGTGTACTTGCTGCTGCAGAGAATCATATTGTCATTGGGAATTGCCTGTGTCTCTGTACACATGTCAGTAATGGAGAATACTGGAGGAGGGGGGGGGGGCAACAAGCTTGCTTTTTGCAGTAATAATGGGCAGGGATATAATATAAGTCTTCCGGGTTTTTCCGGCCGACTTGCCATTTGGGCCCCAGCTTTTAACAAAAGTCTACTATAAACAATACCTATTATTTATACTAAATAAAGTTTATTTGTTGCAATAGAGGGAAAGAAACAAATATAATTTAGTCTCACTGCAATAATAATAATAATAATAGATAGCATTTGTATAGCGCATATCCCCGCTCAACAGCTGGCTCTATGCACTTTACACTATATTATTACCCCAGCAGACCATAGAACACTCCGAAACATTCTCAGCTTCCCGGGAAGCATACAGTGCATTCTTATTTCAGTCAGTGTGCGAGCGCCGTTTATTTTTTGGCTTTTTTATATTAAAAAACCTGTTTACGTGCCTGAGTGGGGCTTTGGTATTTTGAGGCTGTGCTCATATCGTGTCACTCTGTTGTCTCTTTATAACTTGTCTTATGCTTTCTTCCCTTTTTTTGTTTTTTTCTTCAGGCGCAAAGTTGACGAGCCAGTGAAATCTGAAGAAAGTTCAGTGAGTGTGCCTGAAACTGAAAGTTTACGTGAAGAAGCGGATTCGGAGTCGAAGACATCTGGTGCTGATGCTGTGGCCAGTGCTTCTCCAAAGCCCGAGGGTGTGGCTGCCGTAGCACCTGCAGGAGCCAGTGAAGAGAAGACTGGGGAGGATGTCTCCATGAGTGAGAAAGATGCAGGGGATGGTAAGGAACAGTCTGAGCTGGTGGAAAAGACTGGTGGTGAGGAATCGTCGGCGTTAAAAGACTCGCTCCCTGGTGCTGAAGGTGATGGTGGTGTGGACGACGCAGAAGGCAAGGATACGGAGCTGGATGGAAGCAAGAAGGGAGAGGGATTGGAAAGTAAAACAGAGGAGGAGGTGAAGAAACCAGAGGATGACTCGGACAAATCAGAAGGAGGGGTGGTTGAAACAAAAGTAGTCGGGAAAACAGAGGATGGTGGGAGGAAAACTGATGACGGGAGCAAAACAGAGGAAGAGGTGAGCGAGAAGGAAGGAGAGGTCAGCAGAAAGGAAGAAGTGAGCAACAAGGAGGGAGGGGTGACCCAAGCAGAGGAGGAAGTGAGCAGAACCGAGGAAGACGCGAGCAAAACACAGGTTAAGGTGGAAGAAGATGGTGTTGGAAAGGGACGTGAGAAGGGTGAGGAACCTGGCTCAAAGCCTGCACCTGTTGTTGCCAATATAAAAACTGAGCCCGAGACCAGTCCCGTGGTGAACTGCAACGGCGTGGACTACAGCAAGGCGGCCGCTGTCAAAGAGGAGGAGCGACTGGGCCAAGCTGCGAAATCAGGAAGTGACGATGCTGCGGAGTCTGCTACTGTGAAATCTGAGGGCAGCGAAAAGGAAAATTTTGGCCAAGACCGGCCGTCTGGCGAGGACGTTATCATGCTGTCTGACGAGGAGGATGAGTCTGGTCGGGGGGAAGGCAAAACTCTACGCCCCCACTCGGACGTGCTGAAGAAGATAAAAGCCCTCCAGAACGAGCTGCGGAACGAGGAGGCGACCCTGGTCCTGCTGAAGAAACTCCGCCAGAGCCAGACGACTCAGAGCCAGGAGCCTCCCCCTCAGCCCCCCGCCCCCAAAGCCCCGGCCCACCACCCGCCCCAGGTGCCCCAGCATGTGAGGCAGCAGCACAGCGGTCCTCCGCCACTGGTCCGAGGGAGCCAGGCCGCGGCCCCTAAGGCCCTGCACAACCTGAATCAAAATATCCACATGCGTGGTCAGCAGCTGAACAGTCACTCCCGCTCTCAGCAAGGTCCTCCGCCTCTGGTCATGGCTTCTCGAGCGGGAAATGGCCCGGCCGTCCCACCCCAGCAACAGCAGCAGCATCATGGTTCCCGTGCCAACGTTCCTCAGAACCTGCCCAGAAACAGTATGAACAATAGAAATCAACAGCAGTTACAGCAGCTTCAGCAGCAGCATCAGCAACAACAACAGCAGCAGCAGCAACAGCCGGTGGCTAAGCAGGCCCCACCCCCGCAGCCTCCACAAGATACTCAGACACCGGCCCAGCGACAGGCCGCCGCCAAGCAAGCTCTACGCAAACAGCTGGAAAAGACGCTCTTACAGATCCCCCCACCCAAGCCCCCTCCCCCAGAGATGAATTTCATTCCCTCTTTGGCATGCCCAGATTTTATTTTGTTGCTAGGCCTTGAGGAGGTTGTAAACCACATGATTGACTTCCAACTGATCGCCAGAGGTCAGAAAAGTCCCGATGAGAGGTTTGTGTGCACACCGTTCACCTGTGTTCAGTGCGGCTCTGATTTCACCCCTGTGTGGAAGCGAGAGAAGCCCGGCTCGAAGAACGTCATTTGCGAGCACTGCGTGACCACGAATCAGAAGAAGGCCTTGAAGCAGGAGCACACCAATCGCCTTAAGTCGGCCTTTGTCAAGGCGCTGCAGCAAGAGCAGGAGATTGAGAGGATGCAAGCGACTACCACGCCCGTCCCCAGCCCCCAGCCATCTGCCAGCAGCACCCCGCAGCCCCCGCCTCACGGGATGCCTTCCAACCCCCCCATGATCTCTGCGGCCAGCGCTGCTGCTGCGGCTGCCAGTGCAGCGGCCGCAGCGGCCGTCGCCAACTTCCGGCCCAGCGCAGAGCAGCTCCGACAGCATCACAGCTTCTTGCAGCAGGCTCAGCTACGGGCGGGGCAGCCTCTAGGCCTGCAAGCGTTCTCCCACCGTGCCCCGTTCCCGTACAATATTCCTTTTGCTAATCAGCAAGAGCTTCAACGTCAGTATCTTCTGGATATGATTCCTCGTGGTAATATGTCGTGGAAGCAGTAGCTTGTTTTGTTTAACCCGTGTCGTTGTTGAAAAGTTATTGTGAATGTTGTATTTTCTTTTACAGCACAGTCAGCTACAAAAAAGTGGGTATTGGGGGGGGGGGGGGGGGGGGG